GCATTTCACATAAAAACTTCTTACCAATACAATTTTATCTAATTTTATGTATCTTATTTATTTTGCATAAAGTTATCTAATTGTTTGTTAATCAATTTCATTTTTTATTTAACAAATTCCAATTATTATGATTATTTTATTCATTTAAGTTAGATTTATTATTCAATTTATTAAATCTTTAATAGTTGATTTTATTTCATATTATTTTGTATTACAATATTTTGTTTTGTTATTTATTTACTCTAAATTTCATTATCTTACTTATTCTAAATATTTTATAATTTTATTAGTTGGGCTAGGGTGTTTTGATTTGTAGAAGTTATTTTTTCGTGGGCTATGATGATTAAGTTGGACCAATTATGTATTTAACCCAAGAATGAGCCCAAAATTTGGAAGGTTGGATAACAAGCAAAAACAGTGAATGGCAATTCGGCCCTAAACAGTGTCTGTGGCCCAAATTCAGTTCCCCATGTCCAGTGAAAGGCAACAGTCGTTTATTTGGGCCCAATTGATTAATTTATCTTATTTTAAATTTAAATTTATCTTTATTTTAAATTTCATGTTATCTTACGTTAAAATCAAATTTGTAAATTTTTATTGTTTTAATTAGATTATTAATTATATTCATTTATTGTATTTTGTTTTAATATTTATTTGTTCTATTTTGAAGTTATCATAACTTTATTTCAAATTCATATTTATCTTATTTTAAACCTAGATTTAAACTTATTATAAATTTATGTTATTTTAATTAAACTTGCCTAATTTATTATTTACCATATATTTTACAATATTAAGTTTTTAAATTTCAATTTGATTTTTACATTTCTTTTTTATTTTACCATCCCGGCGATGGCAATTTGGCCGAAAGAGTGAGTTAGTTGGCCCATACGATGGCCTGCAGCCCAATGGTGAGTGGCAACCCACAAAGTTTGAAGATGAAAATGCCATGAAAAAAAAATATCATATTTCAAGTCTTTTCAACAAGGTCCGAAATCTACTTTCACAAGACATTAAAGCTATGAGCAAACGCTTTTCACCGAAAAACTTCTGGCCACAACTTAAACTACATATTTATTTTCGACTGAGAAGAAAAAACCCTAAACCCTATAGTAACTCTTGCTAAATGATAATTGAGTTGGCACCCTAAACCCTAAACCCTATTGGCACGCGTTTCACCGAGAAACTTCTGACCGCACAACTTAAACTACATATTTATTTTCGACCGAGAAGAAAACTAATAATATTAACTTTTGCTGAATGATAATTGAATTGGCATGCGTTTCACCAAGAAACTTCTGGCCGCACAATTTGAAATACATATTTTTGACTGAGAAGAAAACTAATAATATTAACTTTTGCTGAATGGTAATTGAATTGGCACACATTTCACCGAAAAACTTCTGGCCGCACAATTTGAAATACATATTTACTTTCGACTAGGAAGAAAACTAATAATATTAACTTTTGCTGAATGATAATTGAATTGGCACGCGTTTCACCGAGAAACTTCTGGTCACCACAACTTCAACTACATATTTATTTTTGGCTGAGAAAAAAACTAATAATACTAACTCTTGTTCAATGATAATTGTGTAGGCACACGTTTCACCGAGAAACTTCTGGCCACCACAACTGAAAATACATATTTATTTTCGACTGGGAAGAAAACTAATAATACTAACTCTTGTTGAATGATAATTGAGTTAGCACGCGTTTCACCGAGAAACTTCTAGCCACCACAACTGGAAATACATATTTATTTTCGACTGGGAAGAAAACTAATAATACTGCCATGATAATTGAGGCGTTTCACCGAAAAACTTCTAACCACCACAACTTGAATACATATTTATTTTTGGCTGAGAAGAAAACTAAGCGGTTTGAATCGTGACCTTGGCACTCTCAATATCTTCGAACATTACACAAATTCTACACAAAACTCTAAGTGGTTTCTTTTTTTTAATTTTTTGTTGGTTAGTGGATGGCAAGTTACAAATATTTTTTTTTTTTGGTTATGATAGAGCACTAATTTCTCTTAAATAATTATTAAAACTTTTGAATAGTTAAATTAATACGCGTTTCACCGAGAAATTTCTGACCAATACAATTT